AGTTCAGTCCGTAGCAGATGCCAAAACAACAGAAATAGTTTCTATAATCTCTGTTGATGAAGAAAAAAAGCAGGAAGTAGGCCTAAGGGGTCTGGTCAGTGACTGGTAACCATGGAGCTCTTTGACAGTGAGAGGCATGGATAGCCATCTGCACTCTTTTATAGATTAAACAGAGTTTGGAGGTCCTTTCTAACCCCAAAGTTCAATTTTTTTATGTAATAATTCATTTTGGGTAATCAATAACAAATATCCATGATATTTTTCTTCTATTATCCATTCTTTGCACACCCAGGGTACCCTGGGGAAGGTATAGTGGAGGAATCTGGCTGGCCTGGGTTCAAATCCCAGATTTTCTACTTACCAGCTGAGTAATCTTCAATTAATTATGCTGCCTCTTTGAGATTGCTTATATGTCTATAAAATAATTAATGATACTTACCTTGATGATTGTATTAGTGAGAATACAGGCTATGTAATTATATACATAGTTTAAAGAAAGACATCACAGTAGTTTAGATATGAGAGAAATGATAGAAATTTACATATTTCATAGATATAATCCAGAGGTAAGCAGACCAAGGCTGATAGGAGGCCTCTGACACCAACCTCAATAGAAACTTTGATCTCAGGGTCAAGGGTGACTGCTCCAGTTTTCGTTATCTCACTCTGAAGGGAATGGAGAAAGGGCTAGAGGAGCTCATTCACATGTACTTTTAGGGGCACCATCCCAAAGTGGCACACGTAACTTCTGCTCACATCCCTTCCACCAGAGCTTAGATGTGTGGTTATATGAAACAGGAGAGTTGGTTGAGAAGCATTGTCTCTTGCTAAATATTGTTTTACTAGCAATTTCTGCCTCAAATTGTTATTATAAAGATTGGAAATAATGCCTTAATTCATTCCTCTAACATTGAACTGTAGAATATTGCAACAAAGGGCTTGGCCAGGTGCCTTATACATGGTTAAGACCAAGAAGATGAGATCACCCTTCTAACTCTTCCCCAGCACCTTACTACTCAAAGTATGGTCCAAGCTCCAACAGCATCAGCATCAGCATCCCCTGGAAGCTTGTTAAAAACGTAGAATCTCAGCCCTAAGCCAGACCTATTGAATCACAGCCTGCATTTTAGTAGTTTAGGAAGCTCTGCGCCTGCAAGTTCTCTTTTATGGCATCTGCTGGCTATGTTATCTGGAGCATTTACAATGTTGTGAGAATTAAATGAGATAATATGTATAAAATACTTTAAGAAAAATTAAATTAAAAATTTTTTTTTATTATGTAAAGTACTTCATAACATTATTTAATTGTGATGGGGAATAATGTGAGTCTTAAGTTACTGGAATGACAAGATTTGAGAATTCTTGGACTTTTAGATTTTCCGATCTTGACAACATTCCTGATATTGTGATGCCCTGTGAAAAATACGTATCTATTTCCAGAAAATGTGCTTGAATAAATCACCACACACTATGTTAGGTACAGAATTTATCTTTTTTCAGGAAGATGATAGGCCCACCCTTCTAAAGTGAGGGTTTTCAGTGTAGTTTTTTAATTGCACCATTGTTCTTTTTTGACGTCTAAGCATTTCAGCTTTTTATGTTCTTAATTATGTTTCTATCCTTTAATTTTTGTGATGGAATACACAGATTTTGATCAAATGAATGTGGAAATAATTCTGAAAAAGATACCTGGAAAAATTGATAAATGAAATTGATTTTAAAAAGATAGCTTCATGGTATCAATTCAAATTAAAGAAGTTATCACTAATGTATTAAATTATAAGCAGCTAGTCCAGATTCATATGCCAGTGTTGAGCTATAAAAAATTAGGAGAATCACCTTCTCATGGGCTTAAGTTTTCTAATCTGTAAATTGAGAAAGATATTTGTTCTACCTGTCTCTTAGGGTTTGGGGAGGGGAGTGTATAACATGAGATCCTAGAAAAATGTAGTATCCACATTTAGAAGGGGATGTTAGTACCTGATCTTGTCAGTGTGAGAGGTTTATGTGAACATACAGTGTATGTGAAAGAACTTGTTATGAAAACGTTTGGCAAATAAGCTTCTGGCTGGGCTAGGGCCCTGGTAACTCCATCAAATTCGCCATGTCCAGGCCTTTGCTCCTGCTTCAAGTGAGCAGGTGCCCCCTGAGAGACAAAGACTCATCCACTGTTTCTGCAGGTCACTCAGGTATCAGCATGTAATAGCAGCAGGTCCAGGTACTGGACATCTACTGCACACAGGAGAAAGCTGGGTGTTAGAAGAAAACTAGTCAGCCAAGAAACTCACAGAGGAAGGAACGCTCTAAATAATGGATTTTTCAGAGTCACTGGGAGTTGTACCTTTGTTCTCCTGGCTGTGACTGGAATGGATGGCCGCAGTGGAAGAGATTCTTGCTGCATCTTTAGAGGCAAGCACATCCATGCCCTGTGGACTTGGGACTGATAAATGCAGAAAAATACTACAAGATTTGTCATAGGCCTTGCATTTAATTCTGTATTCCTTTTCATTAGCGTTCAGTAAATGAATGCTGAACTGTCAACTTGGGTGACGATGCTGGGAGGATAAATGTGTAAGACATGCCTTTCCCTCAGGGACTTTCAGCTAATTGTGGAGATAGTAAACAACATTATCAGAGAGAAAAGTAATAACTAACATTCATATTTTACTTTAAAGTAGATTTAGGTGTGTCATGCCCACGTTTAAAACTTATGCATGTATGTATGTATTTAAAAATTTATTTCTATCTGCATTTATATATTACATAGAAAAAAAGTCAAAAATTGGGCTATGTGTTAAAATGTTAATAGTGATGAAAATTCAAGTTATTTTTTATTTTTATTAGGTTCTATATTTTTTATATCTTCCTCCAATGGACACGTCGTTTATATAACTCTAAGACAACAACATATTAAACTTTGGAAGACCCTAAAGTATTTTTATATGTACTATCTCATTTGAGCCTCACAGTCGCCCTGTAAGGTAGGCAGTCATGAACATCGATGTTATGGATGAGAGAAATGGAGGGGGCTGGCGCCGTGGCCAAGTCGTTAAGTTTGCGCGCTCCGCTTTGGCAGCCCAGGGTTTCGACGGTTTGGATCCTGGACGCGGACATGGCACTGCTCATCAGGCCATGCTGCAGTGTCATCCCACATAGCAGAGCCAGAGGCACAGACAACTAAAATATACAACTATGCCCTGGGGGGCTTTAGGGAGAAGAATAAGGAAACAGAAAAGAAAAAAGATTGGCACAGATGTTAGCTCAGGGGCCAATCTTAAAAAAAGAAATAGAGGAGATAGACAGACGTACACCTCTGCACCCAGGAAGTTAAGTGTGGTGAGATTACCTGATATATACAGTGTTGAACAGGTAGCAAATGGCCAAACCAGGAAGAAGGGAGGCCAATCAGTAGTGTTTGACTGAAAGGAGAATGTAAAGATCCCTGAATACTTTTAGGTTTAGGGCGTGGAATGACTTTTTACTTTAGTGTGGCTCCCTAAACTGAGGCCTGGTTCAGTTTTTATCAGATGCAGACGCAGGATGCACAGTGGTTTCATTTGGATGTGAGAGCAGACAGTCTGAGTTTCGTTTCCAGCTCTGGCAATGCTGAGCTATTTAACCCGGGCAGTTATTTACTAACTCAGGGCCTCCATTTACCTATCTATAAAGTGAGGCAAATAACACCAGCTACTGTAAGGATAAAATGAGTTCACATTAAGATCCTCTAAAAGTATATGGGACAGTCTAAAGAGAAACAACTTTTTAATTGGTTAAATGATCTTGGAGATTATGGAGGAAAACTCTAAAAAAAGGTGTATAGATATAGAGAGGACTCAACAAATATTAGCTAATAACATCATCATCCTTATTATCCTCCTCGTCCTCATCAGTGGAGGGCTGCTGAGGATGATGACGGGGTGAAAGGACGCCTGTATGGCTTTCAGGGGAGCAACTACATTGTCCTGCTTCAGACGGCAGCAGCTTTTGCTCTTTTCTGGGATAAGGTAAGGAGGTTAGGTCAGTACAAAGATATCTAACATTAATCTTTCAATGACAATATTATTATTTTGAGATACACAAACACACACATGGATTGAATTAATGATAGATTGATTATGTTTCTCAATAAGAGCTATACAGATGCGTGTCAAATGTGTGTAGATATATACCACACAGTGCTGAGAGCTGTAGAGGAGGGATGCAAAAAAATTACAAAGTTAATACAAAAATGTGAGAAAGCGTGTGCTGGTATTACTGGATTGTTCAAAAGTCTGTTTAAATCTGTGCCGACCCTCCCCTGCTTATTATAAGTTTTGAATTTGTGTGTACCCTTAGATGTTCTATCTGATTTTACAATGTTGTAAGGCAAGTGACTGCTGTCAAATTAAGAATGATTGTTTTGTCTTTAAAAGACCTTGACCATGAGTTGTTGGGATGGAGTGTACCGTGAGGGTTAATTCCCTCAGGCCTGGAATTAGTCTTCGCTGTCCTGTTGAAATAAGTTATATCTGCCTGTTACTGACCTTGATCAAGATGTGAAACAATTGATTAACAATGTTGCTTTGTAAACATTGGGTTGGAGGAGTTTCAGGGTATTTTGTACCAACTGTCAGCATTGTTTATGGATGATAGTGAGACTGATGATTTGCATCTGGTCTTGGTGAGACCCCTGGAGGACTCTGCTATTGAGACCAGTTACACAGCAGGAATGTGTTTATGTGACCAGCAAAGTATAAAAAATACCAACCAGGAACCAGGATTTCATCCCAGAAGTAGCCTGAAACACTACCAGTTGAGTTTAGAAGATTACCCAGAGAGAATGTATGATGGAATACTAATTGCTTTCATATCCTATTCCTAATTGTTTTAAGTCCTTCATTTCTCACACAGGTAGTTTATTGAAATCCCTAGATACTGGAGGGCAAGAACCTGTCGTAAACATCTTTTATCTTACTTCTTTTCCGCAACATGTTAAATATGTTTCTTTGTCATTTTTTCAGACCCCCTGGTTGTGGAACACAAGGCACTGCTGGTACAACTATCCCTATCAGGTAAGAAGACATTGCCACCTGGGTTTTCACACACGTGGAGTACCTTCCTTAGGGCAATCTCATGGTTTCAGGAAGGTCCCAGCAGATTGGACAGCAGCCTTGCTTTTCAGCCCCCTGCCCCGGCCCCTGCTCTTGATGCTGGACGCAGCCTAAAGAGGGAAGCAGTTTGTATTCTCAGAGGAGTTCAGAATCAAAGCTCAGTTGCTTGAGCAGATGGAGTGGAAGTGTGGAAGGTGAATTTGCTGGAGAGTAAGATACAATCAGTCCAGCAGGTGGATTCCTGTTTCTGACGGCTGATCTTCTTCTAATAACTGAGGAGAGCCTGAAGACCTGAGCACAGCACAGCATAGGATGGCCTCAGCAGCAAGTGGGCAGAGCTCAAATGTGGAGCTGGATAAGCATGGCAGGTTTGATTCGCTTTGTGGCTTAGGAGAAGCCCCCTAATATGTAAGTCTAGCACCGTTTCCATGAACACAGATACATGGGTTTGTGCCATTATATGTAGACTAAAAAAGCATCATTGAAAATGAGATTAAAATCATATCCCCAAAAGGGAGCATTTCAGATCCCTGCCCATTGACATATCTTTGCCTCTGTCCATGAATTCAATAATGTTAGCAAGTGTTGTGCTCCCCAGATCAGTTACTATGTGAATGTCAAATCTAGGACTTTTCTAGAAATTTCTTGCTGAAAAATTTCTAGTTCAATTGGGATGTTATATAAGAGAAACAAATGCAACTAGATATTTTAGTGATAAAATAGAGAGATACATTATGATAAACAATTTGGACTTTTAAGTTTGACTGGGATTCTTTGGGATTGTCTTTTTCAAGGTATTTGGGCTTTTGTATGCGTGTATTTTGAGGTGTGTACAAGGTTAATGAGAAGCGCACACGCTCTGCATCTTCTCTGTTACACACAGCTTGGGAACAGTGGGTAAGGACTGGCACTGGAGACTCCTTGGGCAAGTTCAAGGCTAGGGACATGTTGAAATGGAATTCCAGTTTGCCTTTCCATCTGTTTCATGTAGTTTATTCAGGTTATAAAAGAATGTAAATAAGCAACATGTCTTGATTAGAGAGAGCTGAGCATTCTGGGGCTATCTGATAGAGACTAAAGCAACATTGAAACCAATCACGTATTGTACACAATTGTAATTCTCAGGTCCAACTGCTGTTTATCTTAAATACTTGGAATATTGTCATTTACAGCTCTCTTTGTGCCCTGTAATGGTATACTGAGTGGAAAAATCCATATATATCTAGCATTCTATTTATAAAAGTACATTAAAGCCTTCTAGAAACCTTAACTTGAAGGTTAGTGTTGCAGCTGTTCTAATGCACTGCATTCATGAGACAAATTCTGTCATGTGAACGACATTGAAACAAATGCCATATGAAATGTAATTCCCATTCTTCTTCGTAGCTATAAGGTAGTCTGGAATAACTTTCACGTTTATGGCTGGAGCTGAGAAATTGCTTATTTCTGAGAAAATTAGTTGCTAGAGCAGTGGCCCAAAATGTAGTTGCAGACTGTCTCACAGACAACTATAGATTCAACATAAAAGTTTGAGGGTCTGGTAGATACAGTTATGTTTAAAAATAGGAGACATCATTAGTATTAAAGGAAAGATGTCATTTGTGGGGATTCAGATCAAGATTATCTTCTACTAATAAGATATCATTGCTTATCAATGAATAATTCAGCATATAGCTCCCAAAATCTAGGACCGATTCACAATCTCTTGTGTGAATGGTGGTCATCTTTGATAAACTCCATATTGTAATAACAAAAAAATTGCCTGCTTTCTTTTTGTGTGTGGGGGGAAAAAAGTAAAAAGCATATAATCGTTATGCATGTAATTGTAGCACTTGGTGGGTAACTGTGTCTATATTAGGTTGCAGCTCAGATTTGGTTTCAAGCCTTAAAAAGCACTTTGAAAGATGAGGCATGCTTGTGAAATGAATTTATTATATCTTTAGCATATATATTAAGTAAATAAGTGAACTGAATTTTAGATGAAAGAGGTAGCGGTCTATTTCAGTTTTATTAAAGACACATTACTCTTTGTATATAAATATGTATTTCTTACATATAAATGATTTTTGTATACATATATATTTTAAGTTTAAAATAATATAAAGCTGCCTTCAGTTGGCCCTAGTATAGCTTGTCATAAAGAGCGCAGGTTGGCAACGAGAAGCCCAGCATCGCAGTCACAGGGCCTCCCTAGCTGTGAGACCTGGGATGAACCTCGCAACCTGAATTAACTGACAGCAATTTCCTGTCAACTATACAATCTAGAAAACGATAGTACTAATTTTATAGGATTTTTATGAGAGTCAAAGAGGTTAGTCAAAGAGGTTAACAGGTGGTTAAGCTTTGTCAACTGCAAAGCACTCCATGACTACAGTAGTTATTATAATAAGACATCCTCTTATGAACTCTGCAGTTTCTAGATGTGCTCTCCCTTGTCCTCACAGCCCACTGTGGCATTTTCCCAGGTGGTGATGCAGGCAGTAAGTGAATCTCATTAAAACTGAAATTTAACCTTGGCTCCAAGGGTCCTGAAGCCAGTGCCCCGCTTTCTAGACTTCATTTCTGGCATACATCTGACCCGAATATCCATCCCTCGTAGTTAATGCCTTCAAATTTTAAAAGGACAATTCAGTGGGAAATAGATTCTCTCCAGGGTGCTGCTGAACTGGATAAACACATTGATGCTCATTGTCACTCAGAGCTTATGATTGCTGGTGGGAGAGCATCCTGTCCTCTGGTGTGTTTTGTTGCCAAAGATCAATGAGGGGGACAACTGTTCTCCTTGATGCCCATACTTAAAGTTAGTAGAGTTGGTAGTTGCATGCCAGCTTCTCATGAAAGTCGTTTGTTTTGCTGCTATTGGTTTACAAAGTACTTAAATTTCAGTTGTATTTACCTACATACTATTACCTTGTATGTAGCAGTGTGGACATGTTTGTGTGATGTTTCAATGGTCTTTCATTCATTCTGGTAAAGCAAGACATTTTGTTACAACTCATTGAAATGGTTTTTTAAAACCCTGTTTGTTTTGTTTTAAAGGATTTATATGCAAAATAAACATTGCTGACTTCTACTGCCTCTCAGAGCCTCTCCCCATTTCTGGACCTTTGAGACAGGTAGAGCAGATGTCACCTCCATTTTACAATAAGTAAACTAAGGCCCAAGGTGTATACCTACTGAGCTGTGGAGCTGGGACTTGATCTCAGATTTCCTGGCTGGTGTCCAGACTGGCATCTCTTGGCAGCTTCTTTGTCCCTCTGATCTTTTAATAAATATTTTTGAATTATCTCTTTTGAAATGTGCAATGTATGGAATATTTCCTAATAATGAGAAAGCTCTGATTAATGCAGGACTTGAAAACCTTGCCTCAGTGACCCATATAGCACTCCAGTTTCTTTCCCCTACCTTCCATGTCCCTGTACTGTGGCATCTCACAGGAGTTGTTCAGAGTTATTCTTTTCGTGTATGTGTTAGAAGTTTTTTTTTCAGGTTGCCTAAGGAATCTTGCAGACGCTCCTGTCAAAGAACCATAAATGTTATCGTTAAAATGTATGGTGAATTGGGTACCAAATGTTCATACTGATTGACACTTTTTTGGTTGGAGATGAAACAAAGCTAATGCCATCAAGCTGTGGATTAGAGGCATCCTTCAAAGCCCCCTTATACACAAAGGGAATGGGGCTGGAATTTATGGAGACATAAGACCATGTCACTTTTCAGCACTGAGCTTGAGATGTTTGGGGCACAAATTGGATTTCCTATGAACTATTAATCTTTCCTTTTTTTTCTTTGATCCTCAGCCGCTCACAACTGACCTTCACTACTATTATATCCTGGAGCTGTCGTTTTATTGGTCTTTAATGTTTTCCCAGTTCACTGATATCAAAAGAAAGGTAAGAGTGGTTATGTTGTAAAGTGCTTGCTGACGTGCATCTTTAATGACCCTTGGCAGATGGGTGCAGAGCGTCAGAGGCACTCACCTCTATTCTCCCAGCTGTGCTGGGTTAGCGTTACTTTGCACATTATAGCAGAAAGTTCTCTATTTTTGTTTGTGCTATTTTGTATTTTATTCCCATTGTCTCTTCACTTTTCCCTCAAAACCTAGTGTTTTTTTCTCCATGAAAATATATAGCAATGAATCCTGACAGCAATTTTCTCTCAGTCTGATTCACAAGTCCCTCTGTTCTCCAAATTAAATAAAGAAGCAAAATTGTATTTGTAGCTCCAGGGAGAAAGTAAAATCTCAATGTTCCAGCCCTACAGAAGCAATTTTTCCCCAGTTAAAGAGTTGTCTAACATCACAATATGTCATGAAAATGCATTCCTAGATGAACTGTGTTCTGGTTTTCATCCCTCCCCTGCACTGGAATAGCCTGTGCTGAGGGTACTCTTGACCTCCTGAGTGTTAAACGCACTCATTCTAGTTCTCATCCTACCAGCTTCTGGCAGAATTGGCACTTTTAGCTATTCACTGCTTGTTTTTTTTCCATGACGTTATTTTCTCCAGATTCCCATATTTGGATCATTCCTTCAAAGTCATCTTTGCTGGCCTCCATCCCAGTGCCCCATGCTCTGCATATTTGCGAAACGCCAGGGTCTGGTCCTGGATTACAGGACATCATCTCCCTGGATGATCAAGCTTCTACTCTCTAGCAGTACCAACCATAATTTATCTACCAGTGACTCCAAAATGTTTCTCTTCTGCCCCAGATTCTCTCCGGGTCCATACTTCTACAAATCTACTTATAAATAATAGTATTATGTTCTTTTTGTTTATTTTATCATTTAATCCTCACAACTCCAAGATCCAGTTGGATCATTTTTTATTTATCTTCATTTTATAAATGAGGAAACTGAACCTCACATAAAAAGTGTCCCCTCCCAAAGATCTCCTCTTCCCATAGTCTTGTTCTCCCTCCAATAAACCTTGTAACCAATAGTCACGTAAGCTAGAGGTTTTCCTTCGCTCTTCTTTCCTCTTTGTCATTCCTTGTACCTACTTGCTTAATGTCACTGACACATTTGGTTTGAGTCCTATCTACTTTTCTTAACCTTTTACAATAGCCTCCTAAATGGTCCTCTGTCTATATAGTCATTCCTGTCTACTTGCCACCTAAGAGTTATATTTCTAAAACCTTCAAGACAAAGCCAAACTACTTAGAGTGATGTTTAGGGTTGTCAAAATGATTCAGACCCACCTCTCCAGTCTTATCACCCACCCCCTCTCTCCCCCATCCTGACACACACGTATGTCCTAACTACAGATATCTTCTCACCATTGTTCAAACTCATTTTTTCCCATGCATCTTTGTTTTTAATAAGACCTTGCCTGTGGCTAGAATAATCTCTATTCCCCCTCCTCCCAGACCAGACTAGCACAAAAGTAATCTCTTCTTTGAAGCCTTATTCAATTTCCCCGAAGTTTTTGACCATACCTTCCTCTGTGTTTAGTTTGCAGGTGCCCAGTACTTACCATATTGTATTTTTTTTAACAGCATAGTGACCTGCGTCTCTCCCTTTCCTAGACATGGAGGGCGAAGAACAAGATTTATTCATCTTTATTCCTCTCATGACTATCAATGTACCTGCTTGTGGTGGGGATTAGTAAGTTTAGGGTAAATGAATAAATAGATTTAGAATGTCTTCTAACTTGCTAATGGGTATCTTCCAAGCTCCTTTGTGCACAGGACTGTGCATTATGATGGAGCACAATGCTGCAATATATCATTTCTTGGTTAGATCAGTAATCGGCTAAATTGCAAAGTGGTATCCAAATGGTAGCAGAAAAGCACTTACGAGTCTACGACCCTCGTACCTGCATCGTCTTTCCCCAGGTACGCTCCTTCCACTATCCTACAGCGGTGGCTTACTTGGCTGGCATAAAGCTGCCTTTCCTGACCTGTGTGGCCACACAGCCTTAATGTGGTATATGTCGTCCGATTCTCAGAAGAAGCCGATGGTCACTCTGAGGGCTAGGGCTTGGGCATAGCAGATAACCCTTTGACACACATAATTTGTGTTTCCTTTAGTCATTGCACCAAACGCTCTGGGCCAATTTCTGGACAGGTTTAAATAGTCTTCAGTGATGGTATGCCAATTAGATCACATCTGTCTTATATGAGGAACCTTCTTCATTCACGTAGTCAGTACTTGTAGACTGATTATCTCCCATGTGCCAGGGACTGTGCTAGGCTCATTGTGCATTTTACTGATTGTTTAACTCTTTAATTGTGGTAGAAATAGAAAACATAAAATTTACCGTCTTAACCACTTTTAAGTGTACAGTTCATTAGTGTTACGCACATTCACATTGTCGTGCAACCGGTTTTCAGAACTCTTTGCATCTTGCAAAACTGAAACTCTGTACCTGTTAAACAATTCCGCATTCCTCCCTCCTCCGGGCCTCCGGCAACAGCCGTTCTACTTTCTGTCTCAATGAATTCGATTACTCTAGATAGTGCATATAAGTGGAACCATCCCATATTTGTCCTTTTGTGCTTGGTTTACTTCACTTAGCATAATGTCCTCAGGTTCATCTGTGTTGTAGCGTGTGTCGGAATTTCCTTCCTTTTTAAGGCTGAATAGTATGCATTTTATTTTCTTCTGAGGAGCATTTTTTCCAGGTAGTGACAGAAAACACTTCTGTAATGAAGGAGGAGGTTTGAATATTTTTCACATTTTGTAGTTGGGAAAATTGATCTACAGGGAGCTTATACAAGTTTTTCAAGGTTGTGCAACGTGGGAATGAATTAGAGCCCAAGCTTAACAAGCAAAGTCCTGTGATTCATCTTAGATCAGACATGTCCACAATTCTTGCATTGTCTTGCCTTGCCATGCTTCTGACATTAAAGATAGTAAGCCTTTTGCAGCTCTTTGCCATTTTATTGGTTCCTCTTTTGCTTAGTGAGAAATAGAGGTGCCATCTAGAATTAAAGAGATTAATAAAATCAAGACTAACTGTCCTTGACTCCCAGGAGCCTAGTCCTAGCAAGATATTGCCTAGTCCCACACTAAAAGTCACCAAGTGCCCTCCACTTGCTTGAGTTTTCTCATCATGCATTTACCATGTCTTTTCAGTGAGTCGAGAGCACTCATAGAATCTTCTTTATTTTAAGCCAAAGGACCATTATTTTAATAGTTATCGTAAGTGGATTATTTTCAAGGGCTGAAGTGTATCATTTTGTGTGGTTTTAACATATCTTGGATCAGTGTAGAAAACTGTGAAAGGGGTAATTTTACAAGGAGGTTCATGGAATTGATCTCAGGCCTGTACCTATTGTCAGTTTTTAGAAATTAATTATATGCTTTTTCTTAGTCCACACCCATAGCTTGTTTTAGACATCTGGCACCTGTCCTTTCTTCAGCTGGTCAGAGTACGTTTGGACGTTCCAGGTGCAGCTAGCTTATTCTTGTTTCTTGCACAAAATGGGCATTTGGTCACTACCAGACATTCTCATTACTCAGTACCGGTTAGTAAGGAAGGCCTTTTCCTCTGTTGCCATCTCTCGTTAGTGAATTGTAGACTTTCCTTTTCTCCTTCACATCTTGCTGACTCTCACAGCAGGTCCCTGGTGGTTCCCTCCTCATTGGTCTATCGCTTGGAAGACCTGCCATCCCAGCCATAAGTGAAGATTTATGGAATATTTGGCTGCCAAATACACTCCCCACCTTCTGTACTGCAACTATTAGCTAAACCCTCTAAAAACAGGCTGCTTCCTAATTATAGAATAGAGGTGTTTGAAGACACCCATTGACAACACAGCATGGAAATTAACTTCTGAAGGCTATTCATAGAGTCACTAATAAAAAGGTTATAAAAATGTTTCTTTAGTTCCCCTATTAAATGACAGTGAGCTTGAACGGCCATTTTCAAATAGGGACCAGGATTTATAAACATTGGATCCAAATGCCTGCCTCAAACTGTTAGAATCAGTACCTTAAATGAGGTTTAGAAATTATTTTTTGTGACTTAATGAATTCATGAGTCTTTCTAAAGGGCTTTTATATTCACAAATTCTTCCCCTCTAGGAGCATCCTAGTATTGCCATCTTTTTTATTTTCTTAATTACTCTCATTCCAAATAGAGTCTGGAGTTTAAAAATGAGAGGAGAACCTTTCATCCTGTGGTGACAGAGCACATTGCCTCTCTCCTGATCGTTTCCAGGGTTGGTACTCATTTGGTCAGTGACGAGATATACTATTAATCTTCCCAGAGGGAAGGGACTAGCCAAGCTGTAGTAGTTTGGTATAATGGACTTATAATTTAAATGTTCTATTATGCGCTACCAAGATATGTCAACCTTTTTGACAATTTTTCCTTCCTTCCTCCCTTTTTTCTTCTCTCCATCCCTCTCCCCTTCTCTCCCTTCTTCTCTTCCTTTCTTCCTTCCCCCTTTTGTAAAAAGAAATTGTAAAGGTATCTTATTAAAACAACAGGTATATTCTTGGTATTCAACATCGTTTGAAACATCTTTCATTTCCCAAGTCTTAACTTTTGTTAAAATTCTGTCCTTTAGCACCTGTTCACAGTAAGTATTTCTTCTGCACATCAAAATTTTCCAAGGGAAGCTAATAAGCATAATTGTGTTGGAGCTCAGAACAGCTTGTTTGTGTCTAAGCCCTGTGTCCCTTTTAACTAAGCTGCTGTTTGGCTTGAAGGCCTGGGCCCTTGGCCAATGATCCCTGCTCGTGTTCGGAGGCCGTTGCAGGAAATCAGCCATGGCCGAGTTCCAGGGCCCAGATGGTGAATTCAGCTTGTTGCTCTTTTGGTCTTTAACCTGAGAGAAAAACTACGTTTTGTAAATGATTCTTAACAGAGAGAAGTATGATAATTAAGTTTAGCAAGACACTTTTTGACAGGCTTGTATTTGCTCTCTAGTAACTTTTGCAGAGA